CTATCTATCTATCTATCTATCTATCTATCTATCTATCTATCTATCTAACTACCTACCCACTCTCCTTACCTCCCTCCCTCCCTCCCTACCTACCTACCTCCCTATCTACCATCCATCTATCCATCTGTCTATTTATATATTTATATATGTGTATGTATATATAGATATATTTATTTATTTCTCAAAATAATGTTACTTGAATGTAATGGTAGCACATAAAAAAGCACAAACTGGGGTATGGCTGCAACTAACAACTACTTCCCTCTTCGATGAATCTGTTGATTATTTTCTCTAATTTATAGATTTGTTGTTTTGTCTCTGAAATGCTGGACCATTGTAAAAATGTATATTATGTTTCCCAAAGCTCAAGATGACATCCTCAAATGTTTTGGTTTGACATAATCGATTATCAAAATACTTGCCAATTCATTCAATAGTTGACCACTAATCAATTAATATATGTATTGTTTCAGCCCTAAACTGGGGTTAACCTATCCAATTTGATTGGTGGAGCAAGTAATGCCATAATTGCCTTGAGGCCTGAAAGACCGTATTTAGGGATAAAAGAACCCTGTGACGTCGCGCATGGCTAGTGGCTGACAGCCGCAGCGTAGTATCTGAGTTTACTATATATGGGCAAAGACAGGCAGAAGAGCGCTGCGCCCACTTCCGTGTTTGTGTGATCAGGCAGTGCACAGCCGGAGGAAGCTTCACTTGTGTCATTCATTTGTGAAGAGTAACGTAAAAACAAGTGACCAGCAAGACAGAATGTCGCATGAACTGAGTAAGTCTGTTTATTTTTTTAATGGAAGCGGCAGAGAGAAACACGCGATGAAACTCTTTATTTTTGGGCGACATTCTTTAGCAGAGCGAGCTAGTCGGCTAGCTAGCCTCGCCCATAGCTGACACCTTAATTTAGCTCTCGAAAAAAACGATTCTTTTCACATTTAATATTCATCCGTGACGGACAAGTGTTGTGGGAGATGCATCCGGGCCCGACATGCAGCTCATTGACTGCCCGTTGATTTAAGTTAGCGTTAGCTAGTGGAGCTAACGTCAGTCAGGAAATAGTTGCGCTCACATCGCATTGTTGTGACATGTCCAGACAGACGGAGGCTGTGCTGACAGTCAGGGACTTCTACTGGGGAAGTAAGAGCACAGACGCGGTTAGTGGCTGCTGAATAAGTGTAAAGTAAAGAGGTTATTTATTGTTGAGCTAACACGATACGAAAAATGATTTTAGAGCCAATGCCGAAGCACCAAAAATGCACAAACCTTCTTGCAGCTTTCTTGTTTAGTGACAGATTTAATGTACTTCAATTACTGTCTTTATAGTTAACAGAAGCGGAGGCGTTTTGTTGGTGGATTACATGAATGTATATACAACGTCACTAAAATACTTGATGAGATGGTGTGCTTTTTTTTGTAAGTGAAGAACCCAGAAAATATCATTACATAACCACAAAATAAAGCAAATCAATCATCCAGTTATTATAATCTTGGAAACCTCTTGCATCCATATGGTAATACTGCAAAAAAGATCAGGGAGTGCATTTATATCCTTTTTTATTTTTGGTATATGTGCTTAAACGATACCCTCTTTGTCTTTCTGCCATCTTTTTATATCCTTTGGTTGCAAAATATACTCTTAATCGACACAGATCTGTGAGGTCAGCCCCCTTGTTAAACACATCAAGTCCTTTAGAATGATTGATGAAGAACTAAGTGATGCTGATTAACTCTGCATACTCGTATCTGCAAAGATATTAATCAAAGCAGTGCGAGATATCAGGCTCTATCAACTCAAGTAGCCCTAGATGTACAATGTAACATCGTCCATATGCCTAAAATACCTCATGAAATAGTTCAGTTGAGTACTTTTTAAAAATTGTTTTCTCGTTTTAAGTTGTATTAACCTTAATGCTTTACATTATTTGTCATGTCTTCTTTTTTTAGAACATGTATTCGCCAGTCTCCCACAGATGGAGAGGGGAGTTGCGAAAGTGATTGGCGGCGATCCCAAAGGCAACAACTTCCTGTACACCAATGGGAAGTGTGTCGTCATCAGGAACATTGAAGTAATGTTTATCTTCATAAAAGACGTATTCAACAAGTGTTGCATGCCTGCTTATGTATTTTATACCAATCTGGCTCTCGTTTTTTTTTTTTTTTTTTGGCCGTTTACTCACAAATGACAGTAAATTGCTTTGATTGTACTAAATTTAAAGTTTACACCAACTTCAAAAGCATTATCATAAGCAACAGGACCAGTGGCCAAAACTCTGAAAATAAGGTCCAAGTTAAAAAAAACCCATAAGAAACAGATTTAGGAGTGAACTGCCTATTTGTCAGTTGCAGACCTGCTTATGTCTCCCATTTCCTGTCTTCACAGAATCCGGCTATAGCAGACATTTATACCGAACATGCCCATACAGTTACTGTTGCCAAGTATGCCCCCAGTGGATTCTACATTGCATCCGGAGGTAAACAACCCGTGCGTGTGTGTGTGTGTGTGTGTGTGTGTGTGTGTGTGTGTGTGTGTGTGTAACCAGAGTACATGTACATTCTTTTAACAAAATTGCTTTTATATCCTTTTTAGATGCATCAGGAAAGATCCGTATCTGGGACACCACCCAGAAAGAGCACATCCTCAAGTACGAGTACACCCCTCTTTCAGGCAAAGTCAAGGACATTGCGTGGACCGAGGACAGCAAGAGGATGGCTGTTGTTGGGGACGGGCGAGAGAAGTGAGTCTGGGGGGGGGTTTTCATGTGTCATTAAACTCAGACCAGGTCTCCTGAGAGGCTACTCCAGCAATTACACTAATGCATGGCCACTGCACACAAGTCCATTGTTTGCTTTAGATATTTTTTTTTTAATGTTGAAAATACCAAGGTGGTGTTCTGCTGGAATTATTGTACACTTAATATTGATTGTCTTGCTTGATGTCATGGTTTTGTGTACAATATGAAGCAGTGTGTGAATGCTATTAACTGCACATTGCTATTAAGCAAGGAAGACACCTTAAACCAGGGGTGTCAAACTCATTTTCACCCCGGGCCACATCAGCATCATGGTTTCCCTCAAAGGGACGCTTGTAACTGTAAAACAGTATAAATGTAACTACTCCCTAACATATTAAGTAACTGTCTCTGCATTTGATTGTTTATTCAAGTGTACAAATATTGTACATGCAGTTATATAAATGTAAAATTATATTTAAGCACATTTCTGTTATTATAACATAAATCCTTTCAATTTAGGGTTAAGAAACCCACATTACTCTATCAAAGATCAGACTTTTAAGGAAAATAACAAAGACAAATATGAAACAAGTTATTACATTAACTCTGTTCAAAGCTATTTTTGTCACCTCTGCATCAAAAATATCCTTCGTCGTCCCGCAGCTACATCCAAGAGCTCCTCACTGAGTGTCAAGTCTGCATTCACACCTCTTGTAAACACTGATAGAAGCGCTGTGTCCGTGTTGTCTGTGCTTTCATCACCAGCTAATGAAAAAGACAAGTACCTGCTCGTCTCTTCGGCTAGCTGTGGTGTCAGATCGCCTGCTAGTTCATGGACTCGGTCTGCGATGGTGTTTCGTCACAAACTGACATTTTTAAAAGTCTGTATCCGGTCGGGGCACACCTGCTCACATACACTGGCCTGTAGCTTTTGTAAATACAGTATATTCTGCTGCAATTGTAGTCTACCTTTTAATTCTTGGACAATTTTGATGTTTTTCTTGGAGGCTAAATTTAGCATACTTGGCTCCGTGTTAGGTGTCAAAATGCCGACGTAAGTTCTATTCCTTCATCACCGACACTGCCTCATAACACAGAACACAGACCGCTTTTTTCTCCTTGAAGCACAAACGTGTAGTCTCTTTCATTATATTTTCTTCCCTCTGCATCAATTTTTCTCTTCTTGGACATTTTGGGATTATTTGTCGATCTTTTTCAACTCAATCACTTGTTGGAAAACCGCTTTACGGGCTGTTGCCTCTTCTGTCCAGCTGTTGTGATAGTTTTAATATCAGCACACAGACAACATGAGTGAATAATAGTGGTGTAACGGCTCCCCCCCTCACGGTTCGGCACGCATGTGAACCACGGCTTAATGACGCAGTTTACCTTCACCATCATAGTGTGAAATAAAATTGTACTGACAAAGTTAAATGCCGATATGGAAAAACTGCTGTCTAGTGGCAGGATGCCGTCATTTCGCTGGTCACAAAGTCGCCATGCATTGTGGGAGATGTAGTTTATGTGCACTGTAAAGCAGCATAGACCTTGAGCGGGCCTTGAGTTTGACACCCCTGCCTTAAACCCTCCCAACACATCTCCTGACTTACCAAACGTGTGGGGCAACTGGCCATCAATACAATTATTTAAAAAAAGTAAATCAAATGGTGTTTTAGTCAGACTGTCAGCATGGAGCAATATTCTGCGTATGCTCTGTTTTCATTTCATCCTGAAAAAATTTGTGGACTTTTTTTATTCCTCCCTCAAATACCTGGAATAATTTCATGCATGTTGTTTTCTTGCGGTAGGTTTGGAGCCGTGTTCCTGTGGGACACCGGCTCCTCAGTTGGGGACCTTTCCGGCCACTCCAAATTGATCAACAGCGTAGACGTAAAGCAGACGCGCCCGTACCGCATTGCCACGGCCAGTGATGACACCTGTGGGTCTTTCTACCAGGGGCCTCCCTTCAAGTTCCAGTTCACATTGCGTGTGAGTTGCAGAGATTAACGTTTGCTTCCTGGACTGCATATTATTGTAAACAATCGTTCCTTAATAATCATTTTCCTCTATTCTTCCCCTTTGTGTCCCCGGTGACTGCTAAAGGACCACAGCCAGTTCGTCAACTGTGTTCGTTACTCTCCAGATGGAAATCGGTTTGTTACAGCTGGTGCTGACGGCCAGGTGAGTACTGCATTACCAGGTGTGGTCATGTGACCATAAAAACATTTTTCAAGTAAGATTACTTTTGCCAAAATAATCGAAGAAACTATCACGATGACATTTACTGAAATAATACAAATATTATCTAATATAATATTAGGTCGACCTAAGTAGCCGGTTTGTATAGAAAAATTAATGTTCTATGTCTAATGAGTATTATTCCACAGATGTTCCTCTACGATGGGAAGGATGGTACGCTTGTTTCCTCACTGGGTGGAGAGAAGGCCCACAAAGGAGGAATCTATGCTGTAAGTAGCTTCTTTTATTTATTTTTTAAGGTAAAGATTTATGCTACATTCAGTATTGGTTAGCTGAATGGGTTTTAGTTTTTCAGGAGAGCTGGCTTAAATAATATCACAACCTTCTCTTTCAATCCTCCAGGTCAGCTGGAGCCCTGACAGCTCCCAACTGATCTCTGCCTCAGGGGACAAGACCGTGAAACTCTGGGACGTTGGTGCAGGCACGGCCGTCACCACCTTCAACCTGGGCACCGACGTGACCGACCAGCAGCTGGGCTGCCTGTGGCAGAACGACCACCTCCTCACAATCTCCCTGTCAGGATTCATCAACTACCTGGACAAGAGCAACCCTGACCGACCCATACGCACGATCAAGGTCAGGCTCTCTTCCTGGATATTCTCAGTAGAGGTTCTTTATACTGAGAAAAGCTTGTTATAAAGTTAATATTAGCTTTCCTAAGTGGTGAAAACAGTTGAATAATGTTATCGTACATTAACTATTCTTATGTGCCCTTATCTGAAAACGTGCACTTGCTCATCCAACAGGGTCACACCAAATCCATCCAGTGTCTGACTGTTCACAAAAAGGACGGGCGACCCTACATCTACTCGGGGAGTCACGATGGACACATCAATATCCTTTCACTGATAAACTAGGTCACCCATAAGACAACAAAGTGTCCTTTTTAATACTGTACGTAGATCATTTAGAGATGCTCTGGTAAATGTAGATGCATATGTTAATTGTTTTTAATCTCAAATATTTTGACATATTACATGTCAAATATAATATTATAGTGTGTAGCTAACTACAGATATTTGCCTGTTCAAGAGGTTTATTTATCACTAAAATTCTAGACATATTTTTAGCAGAATGGCATTGCTGATAGAAGACTTTGTTGCCACTTCAGAATCAGAAACGTCTTTAGTGGCCATGTATGCATTTACGTAAAAGGAATTTGACTCTAGTTTTTCCGTTGATCTCAACATGCATACACAGGAATAGACGATAAAACAAGGACAACAAAGTAGAATAGTAGCATAAACATTTAACTACTCTGTACACGCATAAATATATATATCCAAAAGTATATCTCTCAACATAAAACACAAAAACAATGAAATGGAGATAATAGTGCAAGGATGCTTGAATAAATATGGAAAGATTGTATTTTATTGCACACTGATTTGTTTCCGACACTGTATGACTGATTAAGTGTTCATCAGAGTGACGGCCAGTGGAAAGAAGCTGTTCTGGTGTCTGGTTGTTTTGGCGTACATTGCTCTGTAGCGCCTACTAGAGGGGAGGAGTTGAAACTGGTTGTGTCCAGGGTGTGATGGGTCTGCAGCGACATTTCCTGTCCGTTTCCTGGATGGAGGGCAGGCTGACTTGTATGCGTGTCACAACTGGTCAATTTTAATTTTTTTTTCCCCTTAACAAAAGCCTCACATTACTGGGATGCAGAAACTGGTGAGAACGACTGCTTCTCGGGGAAGGGCCACACCAACCAGGTGAGCAAGATGGTGACCGACCAAGCCAACGAGCTGGTGACGTGCAGCATGGATGATACGCTGCGCTACACCAACCTAAGCAAGACGGAGTACAGGTAGGGGTCATTATGTGGTGCTGTGCAGATAACTATGAGATGAACTCAGTGGGGATTGTGACGGTGTTAATGGAAGTCAGTCTGGGCAGGCCAGTCCTCTGGAAGAAAACTAACTTCTGAATTCAGTTTGTTATGACTGTTGGTAATGGGGGGCTGTGCCAGTATCTGCTGATCTGTCGCATAGATGACTAGTAATGGTGTTACTTGAGAACTTGCAATTCTGTCATTCACAACACCGAGAACAATGTTGTGATCTGCATCAAGTAAATATTTTGGTATAATGTGGGTGGAAAATGGCAATTAAAAAATAATGTGAGTCCATTATAGTTCACCCAAAAAACCTGATGTGCTATTTATCAATCAAGATTGTTTTGGTTTGAGGTATCGGCCGTAGAGAAGTCTGCCTCCTCTCCATTATACTGGGACTTTGTGGCACTCTGCTTGCGGTGCTCTAGGCGCCCAAAAAATAAGTTTTGAAAAACAGCAATTTCTCTTACCAGATTTCATGACCTGGTTACCTCAAGATAATCAACAGCCCTTGTTGTGAGCAGTATAATGTAGGAACCACTGAGGTAGCCAACGTTGCAGCTCAGTCAAGGAGGACGATGCTAATGTTTACATCTTGAGCACGATCCTCGTTGTAATATCTGTCTTGTTTTCTTGTACCTAAAACTCACTATTTGCTTTCAGAATTGCATAATTTGTCCACCTCTATGTTACAATGCTTAGTGATCTTATAAATAATCCCAACTGGTGGTTTTCAGTGCCTCTGATGTGGTGAAGATGGATTTCCAGCCTAAAAGTGTGTCCGTAGCATCAGGAGGGCTGTCACTGGCTGTGTGCATTGGGCAGGTAATGTTTTTACTTTGTCATCGTTGCCTTAATGTTTCCTCTGTGGACACATTTTATCACTTCCAGGGTTTTACATGACCCCCCCCCCCCCCCCCCCCCCCCCCCCCTTCCCCCCCCCCCCCCTTCCTCCTCCCCCCCCTCCCTTTTTTTTTTTTTCCC